TGCTAGAACCAGTGTTGCCCAAACCCGAAAAAAAACCCGTGTTGGCCAATCCAGCATATGTGTCTTCAACATTATAAACACACCCGCGACTTTAAAAAAAAAACAAAAGAATCTCGTTCAGATTTATCACCACTGGCTCAGAAACCTTCATTCCTTGACCCCGCCAAAACACTGCAGTCACTGTGTAAAGAGCTTTCCAATTACTCTCTTTTCTCTGGCAATAGAAAGCCAATGAGCTTTCTCTGGCTGTCTCGTTGCCTTGAACTCCTGGTTTATTAGTCCCCCCTTTTATATCATGGATTGGGGAGCAATAATCCCAGTAGGGGGTGATAGAGTTCCAAGGGGGGAGGATGAGAGGCACTCGTGTCCGATCCAGGGAAAGGCAAGACAGTTCCAGTTCTTTGGATCAAGGGTCATGAAGCATCAAGCGGCTCTCACAATTTCCAGGCGATGGTTTAAACACATTAAATCATGTACGACCTTGTTGAACCATGTACGACCTTGTTAAACCATGCACGATCTTGTTAAACCACGACCTTGTACCTTGTTGAACCATGTACGGTCTTGTTAAACCATGTACGACCTTGTTAAACCATGCATGGGATTTTTAAACCATGCACGACCTTGTTAGACCATGCACGACCTTGCTAAACCACGTACGACCTTGTTAAATCATGCATGACCTTGTCAAACCATGTACGACCTAGTCAAACAATGTACGACCTTGTTAAAACATGCACGACCTTGTTAAACAATGTACGACCTTTCCAATAAAAAATATACAACCTAATAAATTATAAAATTTATGCATTTTATCACAAGTATTATAGTCATGACGAGGCGCCAGACCCGTAGGGGTAATACAGCGTCTGGTGAAAATGGGAGGTGATCATGTTTGATCCAAGGACAAGGAGTTTAGCTCCAACGCCTCACCAGCACCAAATGAGCCCCAAGTCATTACTAACATTTTTCAACAGGAGCTTGGCGTTCTGTTGGTGGCTCAACGGTAACGCTAGGTCTGACAAGCGTTAGCATGGAACGGCAAACGGTAACGCTAAGCCTGACGAGCGTTAGTAAGCAATGGCAAACGGCAAAAGCTAAGGCTGGCGGATATTATTCAACGGTAAACAAAAGCGCAAGGGAGTGAGGGAGGGGGGCAAGGGTGAGGGGGTTCCCCGACGCCCGGCTATTGGGTTATCCTGGACTACTATCCCTCTGGCCCCTCAAGGAAGGTTCCTTGATGTTGGTGAGGGGCTCTTGATTTAGGGAATTGGATCTGTGCTCCAGTTCCCCGAATTAAGCCTGAATGCCTTCCACATCCCCCCCAGGCGCTGTATAATCCTCCGGGTTTAGCGCTTCCCCCTTGATTATAATAATACTATCCCTCTGGGATTATCCTGGGATACTATCCCTCCCTCGGGTTATCCTGGGATACTATCCCTCTCTCGGATTATTCTGGGATACTATCCCTCTCCGGGATTATTCTGGGACACTATCCCTCTCCGGGATTATTCTGGGATACTATCCCTCTGTCAGCATATTTCAAATACGCTAGCCATGACTCTATGGACTTTTCAGATACTCTTATGTCTGCATAATTTGAACCTTGCTATGACGCTGCCCCCATGCAGGCTAGGGGCAGCATCAGGGCATTCCCTGCCAGTTAGAGACATACCCTCAGCCATTTACATCAGACTGCAGGTTGGGCTTCCATCCATGCATTGTTGCAGGGGTTACGGTAAGTTCCTCTTCATAAGGACAGCCGAAAGCTAACCATATTTTCCACTCCTACGGGTCATTATCGTTTCCTCAGAATGGCCTTTGGTTTATGCTCATGACCTATCACATTTTCGAAGCTTATGGCAAACACATTTAGAGGCCTCATAGGTAATGTCCTCATGGTGCACCTAGATGATGTAATCGTCATGTCAGAAGACGTGGAGACGCGCCTCAAAAGACTTGATTCAGTGCTTGGTAAGCATGAAGAAGCCAGTTTAAAGATCAAACTATCAAAATGTCAATTTTTCAGATCAGAGATCAAGTTTCTTGGTCACATAGTCACTCCTAGAGGAGTCATGACTAACCAAAATGAAGTAAGTAACTGCTCTATAAAATTTTCCATCTCCAAAAACTGCTGATGCTGTAAAATCCTTTGTGGCTTAGCAGGTTTTTTTATAGATCTTTCATCGCCAAGTTTTTCTCTGTAGCAGTTCCCCTGAGTTGCTTAAGAAAGATGCTCGTTTTGTTTGGGCCTTCTGTCAAGAAAGAGCATTCCAAACTCAAAAAAGTTAACTTTTGCTCCTATTCTGAAATTCACAGATTTTTGAAAACCTTTCTATGCTAGTTCCATTGACATAGGTGCCATCCTAGTTCAAAACACCGTTCAGCCCTTGTCCTTATAAGGGCTGAACGTAACTAAATGGTAGTTGAACAAGAAAATTTAGCAATAATATGGTTCTAATAACACTTCCGAGACATAATATACCAGTACACTGTTCATGTCTTGACAGATCATGTAGTGGCGGTAGTGGTGATGACAAAGGTGGTGGTAGATAGTGGTGGCGGTAGTAGTGGTGGTAGTGGTGGTGGTAAGGGTGGTGGTGCTAAGGGTGGTGGTAGTGGTTAGTAAGGGTGATGTTGGAAGTAGTGGTGGCAAGGGTGGTGGTGGGACTCGTGGTAGTTTGCTGGTAGTGGTGGTGGTGGTGGTGTGGTGGTGGTGGTGGTAGTGGTGGTAAGGTGGTAGTGGTATGGTAATGGTGGTGGTAAGGTGGTAGTGGTATTGGTAATGGGTGGTAGTGGTATTGATAATGGTGGTGGTAAGGATGGTGATAGTAGTGGTGGTGGTAAGGGTGGTGATAATGGTGGTGTGGTAAGGGTGGTGATAGTGGTGGTGGTGGTGGGGTTAAGGGTGGTGATAGTGGTGTGTGGTGGTAAGGGTGATGGTAGGGGGGTGGTAAGGGTGGTGGAGTGGTGGTGGTGGTGGTGGTAAGGGTGGTGGTAGTGGTGGTGGTGATAGTAGTGGTGGTAGGGGTGGCGTTTTTTATTTTTTTACTTAAAATATATATTGCATCAGCAGTGTCCTGCTACCCAATTCTATCATATAATTACATAGTGATAACAAAAACTAGCTGTGTTTCCCTGATAGTAGCGTTGTCAGCTCACACACCGAGGGTCCCGGGATCGATCCCGGCTAGGTGTAAGCAGGAAGACACCTGCTTACACCTGCTGCACCCTGTTCACTTACCAGTAAATAGGCACCTGGATGCTAGCCGACTGTTGTGGGTCGCATCCTGGGGGGGACAAGATTAACCTAAGTTACCAGAAATCCTCTGCATAACCAGAGGCTTTCTAAATAGCATGTCATTGATGCCAGCTTGATCTGTAATAGTCTTATTATGTACTGGTAGAAATAGTTATTATTATTATTTCATTCCATCATGCAGGATGGGGCCCATACAAGATGTTGAAATCTGCCAGTCTGAGCTGGGAGACTTCAGTGGGGCAGTGAATATGTCAAGCATTTCAGCAAGGGTTCTTCAGCAGATAGTGGTGGTAGCGGTGGTGGGTGGGGGAGGGGAAATGTGGCGACGGTAAGGGTGGCGTTTGTTATTGTGGTAGGAATGGAAGAAGTGACTGGTGGTGGAGTCAGCGGTACATAACACTGACTCATAGAATCTCACGTAAGTAGGTCGCTGGTGCGGTGTTTCCGAGATAAAGTAACCCAGCTCACCTCTCCAGTCCTGCTGCTGCCAGCCATCATGTCTCAGTCAGGGGTTGAACTTAACCTCCACAGTTTGGTGAAAACACATGTGTCTTATTCATCTACTTGTCGGCATTATGGCATTGATCTTGTGATAGTATCTACGTTAATTAGTAAAACAAACTTTCAACAGAAGAATTTAATATTAGGCTAAAATACGCTTCGGAGGAGGACTAACAACAAGGTTAAACAGTCGTACAAAGTGTGTTTGTAATTCTACAATGAAATAAAACACCAGAGCAGAGTTCTCCCTTTTAGTTGTGTCCTTGCTAACAAACAAGTAAAACTTCGGAGGAAATTTTATACGTCGTTTCAGTTCGTCCTGAAGGATTACTAAGTCACATTACTTGATAATGGGTCCACGACGTACTAAAACCTAATCTAAGGTGTCCTCTTCAAAGTGTAGGTCATCTGTTCTTTATTATATCCAC